ATATATATATATATATATATATATATATATATATATAGTTAACAGCATTTATCTCATTCAAGAAAACAGTCACAGTGAAATGTGTGATCAGATTATAATCAGACTGTCCAGATGGACTTTGCTGAACTGAAAAACCAACTTCTAAATGCAGAATATCAGAATATGAAATGAAACCAATTTTTACGTTTGTCTGCTTTTGTGGACATGTTTTTTTTTTTTTTTATAGATTTTTCTATGTTGTTTTGTCATTTATTTTTGTTGTTTTTATTTCTTAAACATTTTCTCGATTTTTGTTTTAACAATAATATTTCGTCTGTCTTTTACTGAGAGACGTAATTCGTAATTTTATATTTTTGCTCTAGTAATATGATAGACTGAATGATTCGATTATTCAATTGAATAATTTTATAAATAACTGTTACAAAAAAATCAGTTTCAGTATTCAGAAATGAATAATTGACATGATAGGTGATACTAAAGTAAATATTTTATCACAAATATATATTTCATTTTTACACATTAAACACCTTTTTTCCATTGAAAAAAAATAGAATCTCTAACTGTATGACATCTGAGGTATCACGTATCAACATTGGCATCACCTGAACCCAATGTTAATGCACTTGAAAGCTGTAGCTAAAAATTAGGATTATTTCATTTAATATTTATCCCACAACTCTTCATAACTTAAAATAATTTTATATTTTTTAAACATGAATATATATATATTTTTTTTTCTCTGAATTATTTATTTCTCCATCATTGCAATTTATTTTATTTATTTCACCTTTTGCAAATGGCAATTTAGAATCCGGGGAATGTTTTAAGTAGTTTATAGAATATAACAAAGTAGATCATTTCACTCAAGATATCGTTAAAATGAGAATACCAAAAACTTTTGCAGTCCTCATTTCATTTTTTTTTTTTTTTAAAGTGATGTAATTATAGACTCCAGCTGGTGTGTGCTGCTGGACAAGATACAAGTTTTAGCCCAGGTTGTGTCACGTTGCTGCTGTTCGGCTCCCTCAGAGCAAATCTCTCTGCAGGTGTGGCTGATTTCTTTTAAATGGGAGAAAAAGCAAACTGATTAGCAGGTCCAGGTAAGATCCGTGCAGCTTTTTTTTTTTCTCCCCCGCCAGTGGCTGTGTGATTAAATCACATGAAGCAAGTCTCAAGGAGCAGCTTAATGAAGGGACAAGCTGGTGAATGCCTCCGTACCCTCCTCCCCCTCACGTCCTCCTGCTCTCCCTCCAACGAGCAGCACTGGAACTCGGCCCAAGCCTGGGACATCAGGCTGGGTGGAGCATGGACACACACACACACACACACACACACACACTAACAGACACGTAAGGACCTTGTTTAATGCTGCTTAATGTACTTATCCATCACTTTGTTTGGCATCTAAGAAAGAAACAGTTCGATTACAGGGGATCTAAACATACACGTAAACATAAAACTCCTGACTTGCAGCACAAACACAAAGCCAGAGAAAGATTGACAAAATGATGTAGCAGACTCCACAGGACACATTCTCTATCCAGCTACCCTTGACTGGAGTTAATACAGCTAAGAAACTCATTTACACATTTTACTACCAAGTGGATTTAATTGAGAAAAGAAAAAAAAAAAAAAAAAAAAAAAAAAAAAACAGCAGCTCTGTAAATCAACAGTGAGCCAAACGAACAAAGAAATCCGACAAATCTTCCTTTACAGCTGCTCCAAATATCTCGCTAAGGCCAGAAAATAAGCAATAAAATCTCTTTAAAACACTGTTGATAGCTTTTGGTTACAGGCAGTCCCTGCTCACACGCCTGGCACTGGTCTTTTATGGCGAGGAACCTAATACAAGATTTCTGTTCTAGTGCAAACACAGTGGCCATAGGCACCGAGGAACAGCTGCCATATAATTGAATTAACATTCGCCTTCTGCTCCGGCACTCAGCGCTGTGCTGAGAAGTCATACGAAAACCTTCTCTGAGCTCCATCAACCTGCCCATGAATATGCATGCTGCTGGTGATAAATATGCGCTCTGTGTCTAATGTTTGTGGAGTTGCCTGCACAACGAATAAAGAGTTATACCGTGTAGACCGTCTTGGGGATTGACATGGTATATATCAAGTTGGTTGATCTTTCTTTCTTTTTACCGCCACAGGCCCCCTGAGGATGAGAGCCGTGGTACCTCAGACGCTTCGATGAGATTTAAAGTCTAACAGAGACATCTAGTGGACACGTGCTTTGTTGTAGTAGTAGCACAATGTCTCACTGAGTTTTAGAGATTTTCTAACCTTGGTCACCATCCTCCTCATTATTAGTTGTAGGAGGCATTGGTGCAAAAATACAGCTCTAAATAGCCCACTGCACTGAACCCCATTGAAAACCTCATGGTTATTCCACCAAATATTGATTTCTGAACTCTTCCTGAGTTAAAACTTTAGTATTGTCGTTTCTAAATGAGTATGAACTTGTTTTCTTTGCGTTATTTGAGGTCTGAAAGCGTTGCATCGTTTTCATGATTTTTGACCATTTCTCATTTTCTGCAAATAAAAACTAAATGTTTGCTTGGCATTTTGGAGACATAGAATAAAAGAACAATGTTCATTTTACTCAAACATACACCTGTAAAGAGCAAAATCACATAAACTGATCATTTCAAGTGTGACGTAGTGTAATAAACTCTGAAAACTCACCAGTTTCTGCAATAAATCTATTTGGGTTTTGAATTAATATACTGAAAACAATTACTTTTCAGTGAAATTCTCGTCGTGAACAGGTAGTGATGCCAGGAAAAGCCCAGATTATTACAGTTTAGGCATTTTTGTTTAGCGTTACGTGCATCTGTTCTATTAACGGACCAGAAGTTGAAATCTGTACAATTTAACATCTGACAATTTTTAGGTTGTAGTGTAGAGGTGCAGAAATGAAGACAGGCACACATGATCTGAGCCCTTTGAGTTCAGATTTATTGATACGGCTGTGCAGTCACAGAGCATGGTGGCACACACGGCCGCCTGGCCAGCATGGGACAGTGACACACACATGCACGTGCGCTCGCTCGCTCACACACACTCATTCACACACGCACGCGCACACACACACACACGCTCCTTGTCATTCTGTCCACTCAAGAGAGGCAGAGGACGATTATTACCAGCTTTTAAAACAATTCATCAACTTCTGTACGCTGGCATGTTGCAGCTGGGATCTTCAGTTATGATAATTGTGTTGCTACAGTTTTATGAACCAAAACAGATCAACGTCGTCAGTTAATTGGGTTATCTAAAACACATCGCTGTTGTATCTCCAATGAGTTGTTTGGCCAGATTTATGCAGTCCACCGCATCTCTTTGTTTAATCCTCTCTCTCTCTCACAGCCACTCATCTAATCACACTCATCGACAGAGCAGGTCACAGTGAGGAGATCAGAAATGCACGTTAAGTATTTTTGCAGCACACACACACACGCGCACCCACGCGTTACATCCATCTACTCTCAGTCATTAGATCACTGGTTGCTGAGATCAGTCGTTACAGAGAGACAAAACAGGGAAACAAAGCATTAAACAGACCGTTTGATTGTAACCAGAACAAAACACCATTTTAAGAAGTCTTTACAGATCAGCAATACAGCTATGTTCCTATGGTGGTCGGTATAAAGTCCTGTTAAATGTTTATATATTATAGGCTATCACAGTAGCTAGAAGAACGTAGAGCAAAAACTACAAGTCTGTACATGTGTTGGTCTCTTGGTGCAGAAAAGATATTCTGCTTTTACCAAGCGTCAGGCAGCCTATTACAATGATGTTTTTATTTCTAATATTTAAAGATTGTTGCACGTTACGTTAACAGTTTCAATTTTTTATTTTATTTTTTTATTCTGACTTCAGCGCTGGTGAAGAAAAACAAGGTCGACAAACGCACAGGGGAGACGAGAGATAAAACGAAAAGGACTGATTAAAAAGGCGCAAACAGTCGAATAAAACTGAAAAACGGACACTACGCCACGCCGCCTAGCTATAAAATAGACTTCTCTGAATGAAAGTGAGCAAAATATAGCGCAATATCTAGCTTTAAAAATACTATATTCTGCAACATTAATCTTTAAAAACAAGATCGTCTCAGCCGAATCCCTAAGTGTGAAAAACTGTAAGGAGAACTCGACTAGCGGTTCGGCCGCGCCGGGATCAGCGCGGGTTTTAACGACATCACTGAACGCGTTTACAGGTGTTACTTGTGACGTGGAAAGTACAGATAGAGGCACACATTCAGCCAGCTGGCTTGCTAACCACTGACTGCATCTTTTCGATGGAAAGTAGCATATGGTTTCAGTGCATGAGAAACTGCTGTAACCCATCAGAAGCTGGTTATAAAAAAAAAAAAAAAACATGGATACAAAAACAATCCTTCCCTCACTTTTTATATATATGTTTTCATAATTTCTTTTAAATGTTCAATCCTCTAAAATGTTTGGATATAACCATGTGGTGCAATATAATATACAAAGGTACCTTCTAAAGCTTAAACTTCACACAGTAAATGTGGTTAATTTCATAGAAAAAAACCCCAAAAAACTTTGAGGTCTAAGGAAAAAAAAAAAAAAAAAACATCCATCACTTAGCAAATACTGCCCAGATGTGTCTTTTCTTTTTCTGCAAATTAATGTGCTGAGCAAAGTGCATTACAAAGGTGCCGATTTAAAACTTTGTCACATTTTGTTGCGTTACAACCACAAACTTTAATGTATTACAAAGGAATTTTATACCATATAGAGCAGTATTTTTGAAGTGGAGAGGAGAGCATCATGCTTTGGGGTGACTTCTGTTCAGCAGCGAAAGGGAAGCTACTCGGACGTGATGAGAACATGAGTTAAGCTAAATGCTCTTGATTTAATCTTAGCGAGTTGCTGTAATAGCACCCGATGGTGGCTGTACAAAACAGCGATTCGGGGCAGGATTTATGTGCCCAGTTTTCAGAAAATGTTGAAAAATAGTTTTCTTCACAGCTATGCGTTACTCTGTCACAACAAATCCAAACAAAGCAAATAAAAGTTTGTGGTTCCAACACGACGTAAAGTGGAAACCTTACACAAATCATAAATACCTTTGCTAGGCACTGCATAAAGTGAGAATTGACCCACATGTCCAATATGGTACATATGCAAAAGTGCGCAATAAGTACATATTTTATATACAACATCACAGGCCTTGAAATCCTGGCAAAGAGAAGCAGATACGCTTTGGATTCGCAGCCTGAGATGCGTCGCAGGAGCGTGAAAGTTTCGGCAGCCTAAGTGGCGTACGGGCGCACTGTAAACACGCTGATTGAATGTCACACCAGCGACCAAGAAGGGGAAGCTGTTTTGACAAAACTACTCTGCAGAACTAAAGCAAAACTGAACACTGATAAAAAAATAAAAAATAAATAAAATAAAAATAATTAGCAACAATGTTGAGCTCTTGCTACAGCTTCAAAACACATCAGAAGGCATCAAGTAAACACACAATGTGACAATATTAGACACATGTAGTGCATAAATTGTACAGGAAATTGATGCAAAACAAATGCACTTTCAAAAAGATAAACAAAAACATTGTATTTACAAAAAAAAAAAAAAGAACTCGAATGCATCTGAGCGTGTGATATGTTAAAATTGCAAAAAGCTGCTTTCTAATTTTTGGACTTTTTTTTCACAAATATCTTACATTTTATCTCAAAAATATTTCCCTCACTGGATGGCTGATGGATTTATGTTCCATATTCAACCATTAATAAACATTTAATATATGTACAGAAAAGAAAAAAAAAAACACACAAAAAAACCCATTTGCATCTGGCTGTAAAGAATACAAATGCATTTAAATTGCAAAGAAAGTAAACACAAAATATTTTCTTTTTGTGGCTTTAGCAACCATAAGGAGCGCTCAAAGGAAAATTGTTTTGTAAGTTAGTCTAGATTTATTTAAGGAGTACTTGGTAATAAAACAGTAGTGCTGAAGATCTGTGGCAAGAATCTCAAATTACTGTACAGACATATAATCTACATGCAGAATAGGCGTTTGTAGAAGTCCCTCTAGATATGCATCTATTCTGCATATGTGGTAGTAAGTCGCAACAAATCTCTTAACTCCCATCTCCCAACAAATAAATCTAATATAGATGTATCCAGAATGTGGAAGTGGGACTTTTAAAACAGCTACAAGAGTTGAGTTTGAAAAAAAAAAAAATGCAATAAAAAGGAAAATAAAAGAACGCTGCCCAAACTATCACAAAAACAAACTAGTTTCCAAGTGGTGACACCGTTATAGCCACTGGATGGAAACAAACCTCTTCATTATTATTATAATTTTTTTTTTAATTATTTAAAAAAAAAAAAGCAGGAAATAAGGAATAATTCACCTGACTGTTTATAAATGGTGAAAACATACATGTGATAGAAGCTGTTGAAATGCAAAGACATGAACAAAAAAAGGAAGCAAAGGTGTCAGTTTTTCAGTCGTCTGTAGAGGGCAGCAGAGTCCAACTTCAATCTTTAAACAGCAATCAGTGTCGCCATGACGCTCCTCTGCTGTTATTCCATCGCTGCCTCTGTTTGGATGCAACAGGATACGTACTTTAGACATTTTGAAATTAAGTTTTACCAAAATCATCATTTGTACATCAATCATTGTGACGACTCCCTAGTTTGCTGTCTAGATGTGTTATTTCGTATCTTGTTCATACCTTCTGGCACATAAACATCTGTTTTTCTCTGAATGTTTCATTAGATCTTTATGACAGCCACTTTGGTGTTCTGTCAATAATTCATAATTGTCATCTTACACCCACCACTCATTCCTTTGTTCCTGTTTTCTTCACCATCAGGAGATTCGCCCCCCTCTGAGAACTCACCTGAAAAGCCAAAATACCAGTTTTATACTTATGAAACTTATATATATATATATATATATATATATATATATACACCCCCACAATGGTCAAAAGGAAATGTTTTAAATGCTGTTAATTGTGGCTCTTTAAAGAAGGTAAAAGCTTCATAAAAACGGGAGTTTGGAAAATTGAGATCTGCGCATCTTTTAACACAAGACCAGTTTGTATGTCAGATCACGATGTTGAAGTTTTGTCACCAGCGGAATTAGAAAGTCCAGCTGACGTACCGTTCTGCAGCAGGGGACTCTGGTGTGACGTCTTCCCAGGGGGGTTCGCCTGCTTCGGTTCCCCTGTGTTTCCATCTGGTGACCTGCTGACCTCTGCTGACTCTGGCACCTTGCTGTCTGACTTGTTCTCCTTCTGTTCAGGGTATTCAGACTCTGCCTGGACCTCCTGCGGTTCCATAGCCTCCTCCTGCTGAGCTCGCTCTTCTGCCTCCTTTTTGGCTCTCTCTTCCGCTTCTGGAGTCACATGAGAGATTAAGGTTGTTTGGCAAAGTGGAGCCTCCATCAATCAGCTAGTATTGACTTCATTTAAGTGGTTTGTTCTGGTTCAGACTCCATACAAAGTAAGATCTTAAAATCTTCTAAAGTTAAAACAACCATTTACACTTTTGACCACTTGAGGGCAGCCAAAACTTGCTTTCAAGAGAACGTTACTGTTCAACACTCAGAAAGGAGAGCTGGGCCTCTTTTGGCTCATATTTACATTTCACCAGCAGAAAAAGCTTTGCGAATGAGAGGTGCCACATTTTCAACAACCAAGTTGTCCAGTTCTTCCACATTAAACACTTAAGAGCACTAAGACTTACATGGCTCAGAACATAGACTCTATATACAATGATTTCATTTGATTTGGCCTGATCTGCTTAGGAAACCTTTGCATCTTAGTCCATTTATTAGCTTCAGACAGACTTCAGAATGTTTCGCTGATTTACTCCTTTCAGTCAATTATCACAGCCTTTTCACTTTGTTCTTAGTGCCAACAAACAAAAAAGTGCCAAACTCCTTACAACGCTCGCTAGAACGTCTGCCAACTTAGTTTGTTTATACTACCTGCTGCACAAAAAAAAAAAAAAACAAAAAAAAAAAAACAAAGTGAAAAATAATGGCCTGCCCGGGAGGGAGGTAAACATCTGAGTAAAACTAAATTAAACTTCGCTTCAAGCTAAAAGCAGTTCATCTTTATATTCCATTTTTTCCCCCCTCTATCAGAAATGCTGCGGTTTTTACAGCTTTATATGTTTTGCTGCAAAATGACGAACTGTGAAGGTTAAACCGTACCTTTGGTAGCCTGGGCTTTCCATCTTTCCCTGTTCTGATAAACTTCCTCATTCCACAAGGCCTTGAAGTTTTTAATGTCCACCGTCAGAAGGGAGCTCTGGCCAGACGAGCTGCTGTCAGATCCCATGCTCTTCACACTGTGCCTCTTGGTTTCATCTGAGCTAATACTGTTTAGACTGAAAAGAAAAGAAATACATTTAAGATTAACAGTAAAACTCCAAGACGACAACAAGTTGACAGCCTTAGTTTCTGCAGAGAGGCATCTATGACAGGATGTTGGTTTGAACTGTAAACTAACAGAATAACACTTGTATCCCTTTAGTTAAGTTGCTAATGATATATGATATTTCCTATTTTTCTTGGTACTAAATCTACAATTAAACACATACTGATGTTCATATTTTCACAAATAACTTGAAAGCAATAAATGTGAAAAAGGATAAATTACAATAAATAAAGCAGAAGTGGTAAAAGATATGAGCCCTTTTGTTTGTCTGTGCTGGTCTAACTAGCTTTGAATAGTGACATAAATGTGATTACTTGGTTTTGTATTTTCAATAAATTTGCAAAACTCTAAAAAAAATGTTTACACCTTGTCATAATGAGGTATTTGTGTGCAAAAGTTGGAGGAAACAGGTAAATTTAATACAATCTGGAATAAGGCTGTATTATTCCAAACGTGGGAAAAGTGAAACTCTGTGAATACTTTCCGGACGAACCCAACGTAGATAAACAAAGGGAGACTGAAAGAGCAGATACAGCTACAGACTACTGAGCAGATTTAAATGCTGTCAATAAACTGCATGAGGAAAGCTGTAAACACCCAGGTGTCTATAAGCACAGCTGCACTATGCAAGTTTTACACTGTTTGCTTCAACCGGAGCCTCACTGAGTAATGGTAATGATGGCTGCAGAAGAGAAAGGCTGGGCTCAAATTTATGTTCAGTTGCAAGCATGGCTGCAGAGCCAGACAGTTAAAGGACTGGTTTATTATCCAATAAAAGTGCTTTCCAAGATGGAAAGTTCCTTTAAACAATCCTTTTCGGTGCAGCTCACTTGTTAAAAACACAATATTAAAGGGAACTGAGCCTTACTCATGTGTCACCTCTCACAGCCTTGCACGTAGCTGATATAGAAGGAGACTGGAGGAAAAAGTACCGAGCCAACAAATTAAACCAGTGGAGAGAAAATCACTTCCTTTTGTATCTCCTCAGGCAAATGTGTAAGCCAGGCCAGCTTGAAGGCTCATTCGTGATCATGGATGATGAGCAGAGCTTGACTAGCGTCTCTAAAATGCCAATTTCAAGGTGTGTGGCTCCGCAAGATGAAAGGTGGAGACATTTCCATGCACAGAAATGGATTACTCATGGGAGACTCATCTGCTGTTCTCAATACTTCCATTAGACATGCTGTTGTTGCTGAGGAGCTGTAGCGGTTCGGTCGTGCAATTTAGCGAGCTGTTGCTCAGAAAGATCTTGAGAGGTGAAGGCTCGAAAACAAGAACTACTTCTTTTTTTTTTTTTTTTTTCTTATCGTTGATTAAATAGCCTGGAAGATTAAAATCTATTCACATTTATTCGCAACGCCCTCTGCTTTGCTGTACTACCAAGAAAGCATTTAATAAACATTTTCACCAGAAACTTCTCTCATAACTTACCTGGAGCGTCTAAAGGTGGAAAGGCCAGAGTGGGAGGCCTCGTCGATGAGCGGAGTGACGATGCGCTCCATCATGTCGGTCAGCACAGTGAAGGTGGGAACCACAATGAAGTCTATGAACCCTGGTGACAAACATTTCAGGAAGAGTTATTGTCAGCACACCTGTTTGCGCTCTTTTTTTTTTTTTAATCTGCATACTCCAGTTAATGATTAACCGATTACTAAATTAGTTGACAATTATTTCAATAATGATTCAACACGATTAAACTGATTAATTGTTTCAGTCCTAACTATATGCTTCATTTCAAGATTTGAAGAAAGGAAAAACAAAACTTCAGTGTTTTTGTCCTAACAGAAGCAAAATGCTAGAAGCCACTCACCAATCTGAGACTGTGCAACCAACGTCGACTTTCTGTCACACAGTGGAGAGAACGGCAGGCCTAGTTCGGCTTCTTTGTCCCCCTGGAAAAACATCAATTTCAACAGTAAAAGGACTTTAGATTGGATCCAACAAAAAATACACCACATCCTGTAGGCATACAGACAGACCATCAGACATCTGATTTGTCTGAGCCCCACCCGATGTCCTTTCAGGCCACAAATCTGTTTCATTTTCTCCTCCAGTTTGTCACAAACCACTAAGATGGGCAATGGAGAGGCGATATTCTTTGGAGAAGCTATTTGTTGTCGATTCACATCCCAAGAGACAAAGGCCTTGTAGAAGCAGGCATGATGACAATGGCAATGAAAATGAAAACAATAAATATTAACAAAGAAACTGATGAATGGATTGGTGCATCATTTACACCTATGTCGCTTTCGATAATGTTTACAAATACATATTTTATAATTCATAGACTACTGTTTTATTGAATAGGACACACATTTTAATCTTCCATGGTGTCTGTCTCTTTATTGAATTACTTACGAATGCATAACCCGCATGTAAAGATTTATTTTATTTTTTCTGAGGGAATCTTCTGCCGAGGTTCTTTATTAAAACAGTTAGTCATTAACAACATCATTTTATTCTCGAACTTGAACAGTAGAGACAAAATAAATCAGCTGTATTGCACTGATATTATTAGAATCCTCTACTTCATCTGCCTTTAAAAGAAATCTAGATTCACTTCCGTAGCCTCTCTCTTTTCTTGACATGCATTTCAAAAACTTCTCTACTTCATTTAGGTGATGCTGATTAAATGACTGGAGTTTTTTTTTCCAAGTATTTCAATAACTTGTCAGAAGTTCAACAAACCCTGTGCTCTCTTTGGGGTGTATACATTTACCATAAACCCGAACCTTTTTTATTTATTTATTTATTTATTTTTGATAAAACTGGAGTATTTAACATCCAATTGTCAAATTTTGCATAAGGTATTTCCCTGAATCAGTTTTAGTAACAAATAACCAATACACTGCCAGTTTAAAAGAAACACCATCGTACTGACATCAACAGATCATTTTTTTTCAAAATAAATTTCAAAAGCCACCAAAGCTTCCAGTGACAATGCCAGGAGAACTCACTCACCTGTCTGAAGAACTCCTCAAGCAAGGAGGTGGTCCATCGGTGGTGCAGGTCCCAACTTTTGGCTGGATGGCTGATGTCAGCTGTGTGGAGAAGTAGGGAGAGAGCCTTGGGCTTGTCGATGCTGTAAAAGAGGAAAAAGAAAAACAGACACAAATTTAAAAAAAAAAAAAGGAAGGTCATACTTATATTATCAGTTTCTCTCTCTAAGATACAGAAGTGTTGAATGTTTTATCTATGGTAAAAACACCATACCAGTATAAGGTTAGACAAAAGTATGGAAGCAATCTATAGCACAGCTCAGTTGGTTAACTGGTAGTCTATGGAGACAAAACATAAAAAAGCCCAAGTGAAATAAGATGTGTTAGAACTCTAAGCTCAGGGGTTGTAAAGCTATTATTGTGATGGCAAAATTGGCAAATAAGAAAAAAACTGATGACATGTATTTGTTGTTTGCTCAACAACAACAAAATTATAAAAAGACAAAAAAAATAAATAAATCGACAGCTATACAGAACATATCCTCAAGAGATTTCTGTTTAAATTGGATGAAATCACTATAATTAGTACAACAGCTCGAGCTGTTGGTCAAAATCCTCCTGTATCTCTCATTTTATGCAACAATATGAACAGCCACAGCCATAATCATCTAATTCTCACCTCCGCCTACACAGCTATTGTTCAGCACCAACCGCTGATCAAACGAATCGTGAGGAGGTGGCCATGGAAGCTGAGGAAACTTCGAAATGCTGTGATGAGGCCACTGACTGGGACGCACTGGGTGAGTGACACTGTGGTGACATCAATGCCATGACTATGTGACAAACTGCATTATCTGTGGAGAGCACAATCCCCAGCAGTACAATGAGGCGCTTTCCACAATAACAAGCCCTAGATTGTCATTATCTGAAAAGGCTGCTGAACATAAGGAAAAGAGCCGTCTGGGGGTGAGATACAGAGAGTTACTGAAGAGTGAGCTTGGAAAGCTTAACGATAGTGCAACGCTGTTGACAGTGAAACGCTCGAGAGCAATCGTTGGCAGAGCAGCGTGTGGGATGTCTGGTCAGAGATGAAAAAGATCTCTTACTTCAAGGTGAAGGGTGATCAGATTGAGGTAACCCTGGACAGAGCCCATTATTTTTGAACAATTTCCTTTAAAGAAGGTAAACTCATAAGGATGTGCAGCATTGCTCTCTCCTGCCTCTAGACACACAGACTTCACAGCCTCCTTGAAACCAAAGATTTTCAATACACCGTTTAGTGTCATCCTTAGACCTGAATCATTGCCCTTGGCAACATTCAACATTCATATCATCATACATAGCAACTTAAACTTGCGTTTTTACTTTCTTCTCTCATGCAGAAAGAAGAGAAGGCAGCTGGAATGACTGAGCACAAAAAAGGCTGTAAATAAAGATAATGTTAGCTCCAGGATCGCTATGTGCGACTTCGGAGTACCGGAGTCTGGGTTCTAGACATTCTGTTTTCTGACAGCGCCTGAAGAAAAACCTCAGTCATCTGCCCACAACAGCTAAAGACCAGCCACTCTAATACCCCACATCATAAAAGCAAAAAGTTTTTTTTTTTTCGTTCCTTCTGTATATACACCCAGACCCACTGTAGTTTTATTGCTATCACAGAGTCAGAGCTGTAGATGAAACCACTAAAACCACTCTCTTGCAGACAAATAGGCAAGCTCAACTCCGATGATTATATTCTTCGATATCGCCAGTATTTCAAGGATGAATCTGTCTGTGTCAAGCTTCTCACATTTAAAAGCACTTAGAATCCTCAGTTTTTGAAACAAGAATAAAGAATGTATGTGGGAGAGGAAGGAGTCAGCAAGACCACCAAAGAAACTTATCTCCAAGTCAGCATGTCAAGGAGATTTAAGGATGCTGTAGAGTTGCCCAACTTAAAGGGGGATTTTCTTGGGGAGTGCCTTCTGACCGAGTTACTAGAACCAATGATTAAAAGTAGGGATGCAATGATATGAAAATTTGGGCCGATATTGAGAAGCGATATTATTGCAGCTCTGCAAAAAAAATTCAGAAACCACTGCACTGAACCCTATTGAAAACCTCCTGGTTATTCCACCATATACTGATTTCTGAACTCTTCCTGAGTTAAAACTTTAGTATTGTGGTTTCTAAATGAGTATGAAATTCTTTTCTTTGCTTTATTTGAGGTCTGAAAGCACTGCATCTTTTTTGTGATTTTGACCATTTCTCATTTTCTGCAAATAAAATCTACATTTTTGCTTGGAATTTCAGAGACATGCTGTCAGTAGATCATAGAATAAAAGAACAATGTCCATTTTATTCAAAAATATCAGAGAAACTGATCATTTTAAGTGGTCTCTTATTTTTTTCCAGACATGTATTTCTGCTATGGCCAATTACCAATATTTACCCATATACTATATGTTATGTATATATTTTATTACTCTTTTGACTGCACTACTTTCTTTACCATTGCTTCTGTCCTTCAGTTAAACTCCCCACAGTCCTGTGCTGCATCACTGTCACATGGCAAAACAAATACCACACAACCAACCTCCTGCACTCATCGTCCAGAAACAAATGGCAACAAGATGGGAATAAATATCGTTTGATAACATCAGCCCAGTTTTATATATCCCACCAATATCAACATGTTGGAAATTATATAGGCCCGTACCAATGTAGCCCTAATGCCAGTTAGATATTCCATATGTTCTATTGGAGTTTACCAGCAAATACAGCAAATTTATGTAAACAATGAATATTTCAAGTATTGACTTTTCTTTGTCGTCCTTATTTGCCTACTTTCTGACAGGTTTCAGGCCCACACTGTGTATGCTTTGTTGGAAGAAGTGGAACACAATCTTATCTAATTTTCTATTCATGGCAATGGTGTGAGGCAGAATCATGCCCACCTCATTGGTTCAGAAACAGTACCATATAGAGACTGAAAGTCATTTAAAGATGTTACTAACAATCCAAAATATGACTTGTGGTAGGAGATAACCATGCCCCAGTTTTCTACTGTTCTACTGTCTCTGCTATGCATGTTTTTAGTCTAAACCTAGTATTTTTATCGAACAAAAGAGGCTTCTATGCTGCCCTTGTTGTAAAAAGACCATCAAAACGTCTTTGCATTATGATGCTTTCAAATGCACAGACAAACAATATTGAAGTTGAGCAGGCTATAAACTGGAGGCAGCACAACGTCCTAGACCTTGACAGTCATTTTGGATAAGCTGAAGCTTTCATTACAGCCGCTGAATCTTTCTTCTTGAAGTTCTAGATGATCTGAAGAAGTGCTGCTTTGTTAGTAATATTGTTTGCACTTATTTCCTTGCATGCAAGGCTAATTAGATGCTAAGGAGAAAAAAAATGGCGTTATGCCGTTTTTTGGAGTTAGTCATTGCAGACAAAAGGGGCTCATTATTTCAAGAACATCTGCCCCTGTTTGTTCCAGTGAATTTAACTGCACTCATTTAAAGCTTCATTATTGTTATGTATGCTTGTGAATGAAGTTAATAAATAGTTTTGTGAAAATGCAGAAATGCGGGCTTGTTTTTTGTTTGCAAAGTGAATTTTATGAAATAATACAGGTCGTTTCAGCGACTTGATCACTCCGCGCAATAATCTTCAAACAATAAGGACCGTCAGCACAAAAATCATGCCATAACATTAGCAACAAAGCATTTGCTTCATCATAGAGCATCTAAAAAAATCTATGCATGCTTGGGACTCCTCCAGAGCACTTAGAGGTGACATAATTACAACAATGACACACAAGTACCTAAATTATATGGCCAGAAGTGCTCCCACTTTCACCCAATATCCAGATAAAGCAATAGAATAACTTGAGTCAGAGACAGCTTTATTTCTGCTGCAATAAAGGCTAATAGGTGGTTACCAGTCACAAAATACCAATAACACAGAGAAAACACCTTTAGGTCAAAATATAGAACATGACTATTTCTTATTTCTTGTGTTTTTGTTCCATCTTTCGTTTACTCTGACCATTTTTTTCAGTTTAAATTTCTTGAGGCTCACAGCCAGAGATGAGGGATAAATAAGCCATTGCTGTAGAACCTTAACTTGCAAATAAACAACAAACTACAGTTTCATTTTAAATACAACTCATCCATCCATTCATGGACAGACTCCCCACTGTCTCCATGTCATGACAGTATAATATGAGACTGATAATCTGTGAAAAGATCCCCTCCACTGTCTGAAGAAAAGCATGGCTACCTGTCAAAAACAGTCTGTCAACCTCGTGTATGCGCTGCTAAATGGGCTAGTAGCAAAGAAACAACTTACTGTTGCAGGAAAATTGTTTATCTGTCATCAGTGACCATGCTCACTAGCTCGAGCATTCATGCCTCCCTCTACTGATGGGGAGAAGCTGTAGTGTAGCAGAGAGCAAGGGCGAAGGCTTGAGGGGATTTGTGAGCAGCAGGTATACAATCATGACTGACAGCACCGAGACCCTCCTCCTGGCTCTGATTGGTTGTTTCTAGTTAGCACTGGGAGCACTGAGAGAAGCCAGAGGAGCTCAATTTTGTCACAGATCATCTGTCTCGCTATACTGTCATTACATTGTGACAGTATAACAATTTTTATAAAAGTTACATACTGCAGCTATAATAACTTACTGTGACATAAAAACTTCCTCTACACTGTTGCTTGTGAATAAGATATAAAACAGCTATGGTACTGAGCTACTGATCCACAAGAAAAGCTTAATATGCATTAAGACAGTAAAGAAAGGTTGTGTCTTTTTATAACATGCATGTAAAGATAAGGTTTTAACATTTTAACATTATGTGGATGCTAAATAATGCTTCTAATGTAAGCTATTAAATGGCCACTCATAACAGAAGATGATCCAAAGAGAGAAGAAAAAAAAGCCCTCTTTAATCATACTGCCACCATTAGGCTAATCGGTCCTCTGCCCTGGATCGCAGCGTGAAGATGCACCATCCCACCTCATCAGAAATGGTGTGTAAAATACCACCTGATAACCATATCCAAATATCTTGTTTAATGGACTGATGCCTGAACGAACAGGCACAGACAAATATGAAAAAGAGGCAGACTAAATGGAAGAGACACACAAAGTACACAAAAACACTCTGCACGTGTACACACAGCACAAGGTTAAACAGGGGTGAGAGTGACTGGCTTCCATTTTGCTGTGTTCCATTTGTGGCAGATTGAGTCTTGAAGTGCGCTCTAGCAGGCCTGCAGCACACTGGTTTGAATTACTTCACATTAAAGTCTTTTCAGCTCCACCGCCGCCTGCAGACTGTAATCGTGTATTTATGTGTGTAAGGACTATACTGGACTGATTACCCTGCAGTCAGCACTTTTTGTCTTAAAGATATATCCATATAAGGTGATACATATATTATATATGTATGAAATAGATGGATTGGGAGATGTTCTGGGATGTTACCATAATCGGAAGAGAATAGTCTGAAGGTTAACAAGTCCTTTGCCGCCTGCTTTTTGTAGAAGCTGTGGCAGTGATGACTCATCATGTTATGTGATAGTTTGTGTGATAGCTCTTTTATTTCTCTTCTCCAGCTGCAGCCCTTTAGTACAACAACCGCCAGCTATCACTAGGGCCCTGTGCTCGAAGTGTGCAAAAAGGAAGTTCTGTTAGGAAGTACTGGAAGTTGCACACAGCACACAGACCTCAGGTCTGCCTGAAAATGCTTATAGAAATCATAAGTTGAAGTGAATTTTTAAGTGAACTTTACAAAAATTTTTGTTCTTTGTTTACTGAATGTCTTGTTAAGGCAGTATTTTCATCTCATATGCATAAGAAAGCTAAACTAAAATAAACAAAAAGGATCAGAGAAAGAGGAATTCTTTAAAGATAATCTTAGATTAATCCTTAATCCTTTTCTGAGATTTCTCTGCTTTTGGTAGACTGTAATTTTTTCAGAGATTTTTATATTCCTATTAGGTTTGAATACATTATTAGTCTATTTAAATTCTGGGGCCGGTTTATACTATCATCTACTTTATAGTAAATCATAAGGTTAGTCAGAGTTTCTGTGTCCGGCAAGAACTGCATTAATCTAAATTACATAAACATGTTCACTGAAACTAGTACAAACTAGCAGTACAATTAAATTGTCATTTAAAAGTCTATTTCGCTACACTGGATACTTCCACAACTTTCCCTTTTCTTTTCAGGACCTCAACCTACACAGTTTTTTGTATTGTTTGTTGTGTAGCTTCAAGACATGCATGCAACTTTTTAAGTCAATTAATGCAGATTAAAAACTCCACAAATAAACCGAAATTAGTGATGTACCCACAGTATGACATACAACTGACTACGTTTAATTTGATAAAACTCATTGCTTTTTATGAGTGTTTTTGGTGCAAATATTTTAATTTTGTATGTTTTCTAAACAAAAGCAAACACATGTTAATTTTGCTGTTTATATTTATGTAATCATAATAGCAGTCATAATAATTATTGTCTTTCTGTTTTAAATAAGTGCACTAAATATGTTTTTGCATAAATATGATAAAAGATAAAAAAAAAAAAAAATGATACTGAAAAATGGTGGCCTTTTACTTGTGGTTGTCAATGTCTTTGGTCTTAAAGTTTTTTTTTTTTTTTTTTTTTTATTTTTTTTTTTTTTTTTATTTTTTATTGTTCTAACTTTGGAAAAACATTTGGAAGGG